AGTTTCTACAATATATACTAAGTAAATCCTAACAGAGAAGCTGTTAGGTAGTCTTCATAGTTACTGACTGTGTAAGACTATAATGAATAATAATAATAATAATAAATATAGATTCTGTTACTTTTTATATTTTTGCCAATAACTCCACAACCATTAATTGTACACATATGAGAATACCACCTTTCAAATTGTCTCTCTGACCTGCTCAGAATGACCCTATTTTTATTAAAAAATATCAACTTTTGCATATTATGTTTTACTCACTATTTGTACTATATATTTTATATTTTTGCTAATAACTCTACTACTATCTACTTTACAGATATAACACTATCTCTGTTTAAATTATCTTACTAACCTGCTTAGAATCTTCTTATTTTCATTATAATATATCTACTTTTGCATCTTATGTTTTACTCACTATTTGCTTTATACAGCTAACCCTAACTTTAATTCTAATTACTTAATTTTCTGTTACTTTTTTATATTTCTGCCAATAACTCTACAATCATTAATTATAGACATGTGAAACTACTACTATTCAAGTTATCTCTCTGACCTGCTTAGAATATCTCTATTTTTGTTAAAATATATTAACTTTCACATCTTATGTCAGTGTCAGTATTTGCTATATAAAATATATATATTTGCTAATAACTCTATAAAACTACTACTGTTTAAATCATCTCTCTGATCTGCTTATAATTATTTTATTTTTCTTACTATATATTCACTACTTGTGGAGAAAAAGTCTATCTAACAGAAATTACAATTTTAATTACTGTAAAAAATAATACTAATTTATTTTGAATTTTTGTTACTTCTATATTTTTGCCAATAACTCTACAATTATTAATTATGTAAATATAATACTATCATACCTTAAATTATCTCTCTAATCCAGTGCTTAAAATATTCTTATTTTTGTTACAATATATCAACTTTTAAATATTGTATTTTTGTTACTATTTGCTCTATACTTTCTGTTACATCTTCATATTTGCTAACAACTCAAAAACTATTAATTATATAACTATAACAGAACTATTATTTGAATTATGTTTCTGATCTACTTATAATAATTTTATTTTTATTACTGTATCTTAACTTATGCAGTCTTGTAACTTAGTTACTATTTAATTTATATATATATCTGCATCTGCATCTTTTATCTGCATTTTGCATCTGCATCTTGCATCTGCATCTAAATTCAATTTTATTACTGTGCTAATACTTATTTCAGTACTTTGTACAACTCTAGTCTACTTAAATATTTATTAAACTACTTACTAGCTCTCTAACTCTGTCTTACCCTCTTTTTTGTTGATTAATTATTTACTAACTCTGATGCCAGCTATTACTACTTTTAAACTGAAGTAGTCAGACAAATAATATAATTAAAAATTAAAAAAAAAACTTTTATTTTTAATCTTTTTATACTAACTGCAATTCTCTATCTGACTAATTAACCAGAATCTTGTTCTAAGATAACACTCTAAACTTGAAATATATAATTCACTAGAAATATAAACATTTGTCTGATATACAATCTTATTATATATATATAGTAGCTCTCTACTCTAAACTCTTTTTCTAGACCCTATCTTAGTATTTTATTATTATATTTATCTAGCTGACAATAAATATTTGTTTCCAACTGTATCTAGTTAATCTTCTAACCATTTCTTAATTTAACAGCTTCTTATTATTATAAATATAGGCTTAGATTAATCAAGCATCAGATAGTATGAAATCTCCAGAAGATGTTACATGGCCTAACTTGTGAGAATCATACATGTGAATCAGCATAATAAAAATTCTATAGAAGAAATTTTATATAGAAAAAAGTACATGAGATAAAAGATCTGGTATTGGCAACTATCTACAACTTGTAGACAAGATTGCCACTAGCTCTCAACAAGAGATTTATGCAGTGGCAGCCTTTTATGTGTACTTATAAGCACATAACTTAGTGCCTTGCAAGAACACATGTACTTTCAACAGCTCACAAGCTGAGGCTCTGGACTCTTGTAAGTGTTGTTTGTCTGTATAAGAAGTTTGTGGGTGAATTCTTACATAACTCTGAATATATAATAATAACATAATTCTTACAGATTATAGAAATCTCAGTATTTAGACTTCTAGTTCACAGATTTATATATTCTATATATAACTCTCTCTCATTAGTTGCAGGCATTAATCTACTTAGCTCTTTTGTACAACAAAAATTGACAGCAAAATTGATGGCAAAAACTAACAACCAAAATTAACAACTAAAATTAACAGCAAAATTGACAGCAAAAATTGACAGTCAAAATTGATGATGGTCAAAATTGACAGTAAAAATTGATAGTAAAAATTAATGGCCAAAATTGATGATGCCAAAATTGACAGCCAAAATTGATGACAGTCAAAATCAACAACACCAAAATTGACAGTCAAAATTGACAACAGTCAAAATCAACAACACCAAAATTGACAATGGTAAAAATTGATGACACTAAAATTGACAACAGTCAAAATTGACAGTAAAAATTGATGACACCAAAATTGACAACAGTAAAAATTGACAGCCAAAATTGACAGTGAAAATTGACAACAGTAAAAATTGACAGTAAAAATTGACAACAGCCAAAATTGATGGTAAAAATTGACAATGCCAAAATTGACAACAGTAAAAATTGACAGTCAAAATTGACAGTGAAAATTGACAACAGTAAAAATTGACAGTAAAAATTGACGACGGCCAAAATTGATGGTAAAAATTGACAACGCCAAAATTGACAACGGTAAAAATTAACAGCCAAAATTGACAGTGAAAATTGACAACAGTAAAAATTGACAGTAAAAATTGATGACAGCCAAAATTAATGGTAAAAATTGACAACACCAAAATTGACAATGGTAAAAATTGACAGCCAAAATTGACAGTGAAAATTAACAATGGTAAAAATTGACAACAGCCAAAATTGATAGTAAAAATTGACAACACCAAAATTGACAACAGTAAAAATTGACAACACCAAATTTGACAACCAAAATTGACAACCAAAATTGACAGCAAAAATTGATGGTGAAAATTGACAGCTAAAATTTACAGCAAAAATTGATAACCAAAATTGATGCTGAAATTGCCAGCAAATATTTACAGTGAAAATTGATGATCAAAATTGATAGTGTAATTTAACAACCAAAATTGACCATAAAAATTGGCAGTCAAAACTGACTTAAGAAGCCAGTGCTGTTACAACTATACTTTCTCTTCTGCATGATAAGTGACCTGCTGAGATACTTGACCTAAACACCCAATGACCTTTTGACTTTGTACCCATGCTTTCTCAAACTCAGACTGATTGAACACTTGTGTTGTTTGCTCTCTTTCTGCAGCTTTGCACTGATATGTCTTTATGGCAGTTCTGCACTGATTGTAATAGAAGACCTCTATCTGTGCAACTTTCAACCACTACTACATATGCCCCTGACACCATGCATGTTTTTCCTGCTTTCTCACCAGACTTTCTGGGTCAGAATTCTCTTCAAGATCCATTCTGCTCAGTCTTGGCCCAAGAAGTGTCAGATTGCTGTTGGGCTGGAGCTGAGGGCAAGACTGCCAGAATCAAGTTGCTATTAGAAGATTCATGCTCCAGACCTGCTGTCTCTCTGCCTCAACAAGAGCCTGAATATGTAACACAAGCTGAGATGTAAGCTACTTGCAGTTGATATACAGCTGGCTTGCAGATTGGCTCTCTTTCTCTGCAAATGAGTGCAGGACATAATGTTCAGCCATAGTGGCCTGAAGATGGCAGTTCAGCTCACTGGAATGCACACCAACAGCCAGCAAAAAGACTGCTGGATTGAGGGACATTACTGTAGGAACAGAATGTTGATCTTGTTCAATGGCAAGCCAAGCATCAACATTACTGGGGACTGAGGGAAGAGCCACATCCAGAGGCAAAGGTTGACTACCAGCCTCCCAACCTGCCAGGGGCAGCTCATCAATCATGTCCAGCTTAATGATAGTGAGTTCTGGCTGGTACTGCTGAAGGTAGTTGACCAGTTCTGAATGGATGCTAGCCCAGCTTCACAGTTTCCCTCCCTTTCCACATGTTCAGAAGACTGCCATGCTTGGATAGAGCAAGATCCAGTGGCTGCAGATGAAGATCTGCTTCACAATTGTCTGCCACTCACAGGCCTACTGAACCTCATACATACAGACAATGATATCAAAGAACTGGTGAAAGAGGACCCAGTACTGCTTTGACTCCCAGTATTTCTACAGCCAGTCACCATTGTTCCCATTGCTGTTCCAGCCCCAGAGTCATGCAAAGAGTATCTTAATGTTCCTGACTTTTATTCTGAAGCCTGTGATGAACTGGATGTCTTTCTGAAAGTGGGAATGTTGAAAGACTTGTAAGATATCAGCACAGGTGAGTGATATATCATCATTGCATGTGTCCTCAAGTCTAGCAGAATGGAGTGGCTGCTGGATGATACAGTTAGCCAGGCTTCTGAAGACATCCTTCTGAAAGGCTCTCAGGCAGAGGGTCACCAGCAGCTGCAGCAGCAGTACAGAGTGGGCAGAATCTAGACAGACATCCAGCATGCAGCTGAATATGTCATTGAAGAGCATAAAGTCAGACTTGGACTCAATCAGTTACTGGTACTGCAGGTGGTAGGCCATCTGTAGAGTTGAAGTGTTGAAGACCATGTGCACCCAATATAGTGGCTTGAATGTCATAACTGTCCAGTCAAGCTTGTCAAGAAACCAAGCATAGCCATACAGCTCCAGTGTGGATGCCATCCCAAGACTCTTCTGAATCCTCTCTGTGTCAGAACCCTCTTGGAGTGGTTGCACCTGATGATCAAGCTACAGGCTACTGCTGTGGCTGAGGTGGTTGCCCTGGCCTTCATATGTGTACAGAAGGCATTAAAGAAACATCATCATTACTCAAGTATGTTTCCAGTGCATTACAGTGCACAGCTGCAGGCTGTAGATCATCTCAAATCCAGTACACAGCTTGTTGTTGTTCCACTGCAGCCACCTCAGAAGCTGGTTGGTGTGATAGTTGAGAAAGAGCACTGGGCATTGAGGCACAACTGTGGGATGATTGGCTAGATTGCTTTCCCAGAGAATTTGATCCATGGCCTGCAGAACAGCAGCAGTGACCTGGTACTTCTCTCAAGTCCTGTAGGACCACTGACAGCAGTCAGAAATGATGACATGGCACTGTTGCTTGGTGTAGATGTATGCGCGCAGCAAGGCCAGAGGGGAATGGCTGATGGCCTTTCTGATATGCTGCCAAATCTGTACCAGCCTGAGATCCAGAGCCAATGTGTCCAGGTTCTCATTTGCAAACAGGGAATGCTTGCTGGCCATGAAGATCTTCTTGATGGTGTTGTAGAACTGGCAGTAGAGCAGACCCTGGCAGTGAAGTGGGGAGCACTGATGTGGCTCTAGCATCATGGACCCCAGATCACACAGGAATAATAGCAGATAGAACTGCTTGCACCAGAACTCTTTCTGTGGATGTTCATGTTCTGAATCAGAAGTCTGGGCATTGGCAACTGGTGCACTACCTGCTGAATGTTCATCCAGGTTGCTGGTATTCTCATTATCTTCATCTTCACTGCTCTTACTGAGCTCTGGCTGGTATGCATCTTCATCTTTACTCCTGAGTGCCAGCTCCACTAACCTGTGTTGAATGTTGCCAGAGTCTGAGGCCTTGGACATCACTCTTTACTGGACATGGCTGCAAAGTTGGCAGAACTATTGGAGCTGGACAGCTGCTGCTGGATGGTCATTGTTGATCTGCATCTCCATTAAATTATCCAGTAAGCTATCAGGCTCAGATGAAGTGGGAGAAGAGATTCTTTGTGCAGCTGGTGAATCTCTCAGTTATTTACAGAAACAATCCAGGCAGCAACATCACCAGATAAATGTGCAGGGTGCATGTGTTGGCTTCTGGTGTGACAGGAAGCTCCAGGGTGAGACCACCTTCTTGCTAATATTATAGAAGCTGATGGTCAGATAGCACCTGTCCATGGCCTGATTCCACATGCAAAAGAAGGCATCATGTGTGCTGGACCAGGTGACATGCTGGGTTGAGAGCTTCAGGTTCTTAGCAGTCAGAAGAAGCATGAGTTCCTGAAAGTGCTGAAGCCCTGAATCTTGAACAGTTGTCTGCATGTGCTTCCAGAGACAGTGAAGTCCTGCTGGCTGTAGTGAAAAGTGAAACTCCTGTACCCATGGCTGCTTATGAAAGTCTGATTGCAGCCTTCTGCCTGAGCTGTGATGGAACTGAGCTGGACATGCACAGCACTGGATGGCAGATGAAGAAGTGTGGATGTGGAGTAAATATGGTGGAGAGCTAGAAGAAAGACCTTGTCTGTTCAGAGAGCATACTCCTGCTCTGTAATGATATAGTGCTGGCACTGGGGGCTGAAAAGCCAGAGGAAGAGAATGTAGACCTCAATCTCAGGGAATCCAACCAGTCATTCAAACAGAAGATAAGAGATCCAGTGAACTGGTCTCCAGAACCAGCAGACTCTTTTGGTCTGCTCATCTCTCCACTGGACTGAAATGGAATCTAGATGAAGAGAACTCTTCAGATTGCTTGTCAGGGACCAGTTGGCTTTCCATTGGAATCTCTCACAGGCCACTGCAAGACTCAAGGCCAGACCACTGGCACTATCAATGTCAATCATGGCATGCAGGGATGCTGGCATTGAGATAGTATCACCTTCCAGATCAATAATCACAGGGTGTGGAGGCACTTCCTCATGGGCTAAAGGCTCCACTGATGTGGACATCCCACTGTATAGCCTTTGGCACTGATGAACTGGCAGGATGGTATTCCACTGTATGGGATAGGAAGACATGCTGGTGTGCTCTAAGATATCTGGACATTTCCAGCTTGCCATCTGTAAGAGAGACACTGTTGGCATGAAGAGCAGCTCTGATACAGCATGAGCCTCAGTAAAGCACTTATGATGAGTCTGCAGCTGTACCACCAGCTTCTGTGCAAGTATGTTGTCTTCTTCTGTTGGTTCCACTGTATTTGTGGGCAGGAAGGGTTCATGGTCCAATCTTGACCCTGGTGTACTGGGCCTGGACAGGCCTGAAGACATTAGTAGTAGTGCTGGATCTAGAATGTAGTTAGAGATTTAAAATGCTTGATCATCTTATTCTGTTGCAGACAACTAATCATTCTCACTACTGCTGGATTCTGCTGATGATGGAGAGCTCTTGTGCTTTATTTTGTCAGACTCAGACTCAAGCAAACCCTTTTCAATCATATCTGGTGGCTCAGAGCTTCTGCACTCAACAGACACTGCATCAAGAGCTTCCTGTAGGTCCACAAACATATAGACTGAATTCTCAACAGGCTGGGAAAGACTGGCTGTGCTTTGAGGATTGCAGGTCAAGAAGGTATTCTGGAACAATATTAATGTGCTTGCTGATGTGACTGCTTGCAGCTGCTGTTGTCATCTTTAATATGCTTGCACTCATGTCCAAACTGCATCCCTCTCAGTTGCATACTTGTGTAGCCATCTATGGCCCATGCTGACTAAAGTGGTTTTCACTAATGTGCTTGCTGCATGAAGAAATTACAGAGAATGCACTGGAATAACATTAATTCTGAAGTGTCTGAGCCAGAGTCTTGAGGTGGGTGAGATTTTGGCTGGACTTACTGGGTGAAATGAACATTTGTGATAGATCAGAAATGCTACTCTTCTGATTATCTCAAGCCTATAAATCTAGTAAAAATGTCAGTCTCTTTCTTCTGCTAACTTTGAGCCTACAATTGAAGCTCTGTTTTCTCCATTGCTTTATTGCAACTACCTCAGATCATCTTTTTGGTAGTCTGAGGCTTCATCCTGATCCCTTCTCTTCTCTTTCCTGTTCTTCCAGTTGTTGAATGGATTGCTGTTGATCATGGTAGCTCAGAGATATTCCAGTACCCAGCTGCAATCTTCCAGCACAGAGACAGAGCTATATCTCTCCAGTACTTTCACTGTACTTCAAAAAAAAAAAGCAAGAAGGACACCAAATCAGCCCCAGTCCCCACTATTAGTGATGATGGGAAGCAGTCAATGCACACTGTTGAACAGTTCTCTGTCAAGCAACATGCCTCTAGATGGTGAGTAGCAGCTCTGAATCTTATGATTCTATGTATACCATCAATTAACAGGTGGTTCTGGATAAAGGTCTTGCCCAAACCACTCCTTCCAACAAGGGTACATCATCTCCAAGTCCCATGGGTGTTTCTGCATGTACATTATACAACAGCAAGCCCAATCTGAAAAGCCAGAACTGATGGCTATCTAGCTCTCAATCAGTAACACCAGAAGAGATTTTAGCTTCTGATGATTCAATTTCACATCAGATGAGCAACAGGCACTCAGAGATGATCTGTCAAGAGAATAGAAAAGAAAAGACATCTAGATTGAGCCAGAGTCCAGTTCTGGAGAACAGCTGCTTTCAGAAACAATCAAGACTCTTGCTCAGCAGTCCTCAAGTGTCAACATCAACCCAGACACTACAGAGAGAGAGAGAGATATCAGAACAATTCTTCTGCTTGACTGACAACTCTTCTGATGCTGATACTGGCTATTCTAGGAACTATCATTAACAATTGAGCACAATTAGTTCATTAGCAGCATACTCAATATTGGCTTCAGATCTGGATGTGGATCTGAATGAATGAGATCACATCAATAACTCAGTACAGAGGGGTTCAAGAGAACACTTGCTTTGTAGACAGCAGAGGGAGATCAGATGTGTGGAGAAGATGGTAGAAAGAAGAGCAAATTGCAGAAGCAGGCATTGCAGATGATCATGCATTCAAACAAGATGGTCTGCTGAAGAGACCACAAGACTGGTGCAGCTGTGGAAGAGGTATGGCAACAACTGGGCTTTGATCAAAGAGCTGGACAAGAATATGCCTGAGCCCAGGCTGTAGAACCATATACAGGTGGACCTTAAGAATTGAATGCAAAATATAAAGATTGGTCTTATGAGGTATGCAGTGGCCTTCTGTATGGGGCAGTCTGGTCTTGTAAACTAACATTTGACTACAGGAGAGGCAATCCAGTACTGGATGACTACTGTCAGATTCATCTAGGTGACCAGCATCTGAAATCAATTGCATGAGGGTGGCTAAGACAACAAGAATGAGAATAGCTTCCAGGCACCCTAGCATGGTTGGACAAGTATTATGGACCCAATGAGGTGATTGGGGAAAGATTTCATATGCAGCACAGCAGAAGGGAAGCAGCCTATTAAGCTGACTTAGGGAAATAGTTGTTCCAAGCTGATCAGATACTTTGCCTGTGAAGCCACTGCTGGACATGCTGCATAAAATTTGGCAATTCTGGCTTGAATTATATGCATCCATTAGTAAATTACAGTAGCAGGAAATATCATGCTGAAAACATCAGAATGAGAGTAAAAGAAGACACTGTAGCAGATTCAAGATAATACAAGAAAAGCTGAAGAGAACAGATCTATAGAAGAGAAGACATGCAAATGATAAAACCCAGACTTCTGTCACCCAATTCAGAGAATTCATCTTGCAGTCAATGTTTGCAGATGAAAACCAGCAGTCAAAATGGACAACAGCCAAAATTAATGACACCAAAATTGACAACACCAAAATTGATGGTCAGAATTGACAACACCAAAATTGACAGTAAAAATTGACAACAGTCAAAATTGATGACACCAAAATTGACAGTAAAAATTGATGATGGTCAAAATTGATGACACCAAAATTAATGGTCAGAATTGACAACACCAAAATTGACAGTAAAAATTAATGATGGTCAAAATTGATGGCCAAAATTGGTCACAGCAGTCAAAATTGACAGTAAAAATTGACAGCCAAAATTGATGACGCCAAAATTGACAGTAAAAATTGACAGTCAAAATTGACAGTAAAAATTGACAATGGTCAAAATTGATGACACCAAAATTGATGGTCAAAATTGACAATGGTCAAAATTGATGACACCAAAATTGACAGTCAAAATTGACAACGCCAAAATTGATGACACCAAAATTGACAGTAAAAATTGACAAGTCAAAATTGATGATGGTAAAAATTGACAACGCCAAAATTGACAGTAAAAATTGACAGTCAAAATTGACAATGCCAAAATTGACAGTAAAAATTGATGATGGTCAAAATTGACGACACCAAAATTGATGGTCAGAATTGACAACACCAAAATTGATGGTCAAAATTGACAACGCCAAAATTGACAGTAAAAATTGACGGTCAAAATTGACAGTAAAAATTGACAATGGTCAAAATTGATGACACCAAAATTGATGGTCAAAATTGACAATGGTCAAAATTGATGACACCAAAATTGACAGTCAAAATTGACAACGCCAAAATTGATGACACCAAAATTGACAGTAAAAATTGATGAGTCAAAATTGATGATGGTAAAAATTGACAACGCCAAAATTGATGGTCAAAATTGACAACACCAAAATTGACAGTAAAAATTGACGGTCAAAATTGACAGTAAAAATTGACAATGGTCAAAATTGATGACACCAAAATTGATGGTCAAAATTGACAATGGTCAAAATTGATGACACCAAAATTGACAGTCAAAATTGACAACGCCAAAATTGATGACACCAAAATTGACAGTAAAAATTGATGAGTCAAAATTGATGATGGTCAGAATTGACAACACCAAAATTGATGGTCAAAATTGACAACGCCAAAATTGACAGTAAAAATTGACGGTCAAAATTGACAGTAAAAATTGACAATGGTCAAAATTGATGACACCAAAATTGATGGTCAAAATTGACAATGGTCAAAATTGATGACACCAAAATTGACAGTCAAAATTGACAACGCCAAAATTGATGACACCAAAATTGACAGTAAAAATTGACAAGTCAAAATTGATGATGGTAAAAATTGACAACGCCAAAATTGACAGTAAAAATTGACAGTCAAAATTGACAATGCCAAAATTGACAGTAAAAATTGATGATGGTCAAAATTGACGACACCAAAATTGATGGTCAGAATTGACAACACCAAAATTGATGGTCAAAATTGACAACGCCAAAATTGACAGTAAAAATTGACGGTCAAAATTGACAGTAAAAATTGACAATGGTCAAAATTGATGACACCAAAATTGATGGTCAAAATTGACAATGGTCAAAATTGATGACACCAAAATTGACAGTCAAAATTGACAACGCCAAAATTGATGACACCAAAATTGACAGTAAAAATTGATGAGTCAAAATTGATGATGGTAAAAATTGACAACGCCAAAATTGATGGTCAAAATTGACAACACCAAAATTGACAGTAAAAATTGACGGTCAAAATTGACAGTAAAAATTGACAATGG